AGTAATTAATAAAAAAGTGAACAAAAAAAAAAAAAAGTGGAGATTAATGGTTAGTTTCCAGTAAACACAAAACTCATGTTAAATACAGAAAAAGAAACTACTGCCACAAAGTTTTCATTGTTTCTGTATACAATTGAATTAACTTTCCCATCTCATTGAACAGTAACATGTGTTACTAATTTGCACAAACTGCTTTTAAAAAAGAAAATACACGAAGCCAGTTTTTGTAAAGTGTGGCTTCACACGGGCATTTGTAGTTGGTAATCACTAATTTCTCTGAATTTTAAAATATATATAGCAATTAAAATCTCCAATCAAGTACTGCTGCAAAGCTTGAATACTGTTAGTGGCTTGAGTTTCAAATATGCAGACAAATCCTTCAACATCGCGTTAACACAAGGCATGTGAGTGGTATATGCAGATTTAAATAAATATATTTATAAACAAACTTGATTTTATGAATTACTGTATGATAATGAGTGGAGATTGTTTCCTTTCAGAAAAGGATTAATCATTTTTCATCACAGGTTCCTGAAGTTACCATTTCCAAGGACTTTTCCAAACCTGCAAGATGCGTATTCTTAAAAGGTTTCAACCTTTTTTATTTAAATAAAGTACTTTCAAGAACCTATAGTAACCCTGAAGTTAAATAAAAGCCATTCCTTACTATCAGAATGTATTTGATATGATTCAAGAAACTGATAAATATTAAAAATAAAACATGAGAAAATGTTAAACATACCTCTTCTGAATTATCAGGTACAATACATTCTGTCCTTGGTGGTAATAAATGCTCTAGTTTATTAATAACTGAATGATCAATTTGAGTTGGAAAATTGACAACAAACTTGATAATCAGTTGCCCTTTCTCAAATGGATCCTTGTAAACAGGCATACCTTCACTCAGAACACATTTAATTGCTCCATGTTTGATCACTTCTCCTAGATTAAGAAACATAAAACAGTGTATTTACAAAGAAAAAGATAACAGAAAATTTAGTTGTCACTATAGAAATACAGATAAAACATTAAATACAGTCATTTGATTGTAAGATCTTTTAATTTAACACAGTGAACATAAATAATCCAACTAAAAAAAATTAAAAATTCATCCTGAGAGTACTTGGGCTGATTAAAGCTGTGCACAGTGAGAACAAAAAATTTTTTTTTGTACATATACACATACACAACCACAACATCAAATAATAAAAATCGACGTAATGTCATAACATCATTCACATACCCAAAATAATTTAGTTTACTATATGGTAAAGTAAAACAGACTCAAAATGCCACACAAACATTTTTTAATCAGAAAATAAAATTTACTTACAAATTAACCATCAAAAACTGGTAAACAATAAGAATCTAGTAAGCCTAATACTTGTGATAAAAATCACCTAGGCTACGATAAAAACTATTTCCCAATGTCAAGACATGCCAATGAAAACAAGTTCCCACTCCCCATTTTATCTTAAAAAGATGTAAAGGTTATATCTGATATTTATATCACCTGTGCAATTCGTAGAAAACCCATACTGTTTCAAGAAAAATCCCAAATTCTTTGCTGTAAAAAAATGCTATGCCTAATTCTATAACTTATCTAAAAATTTTCTTTACACAGAAACATTTTTCCAGTTATATGTACTAATTTTTACGTAACCATTATTGCTTCATATTTACCTACCTGGAATACATGTAATAACTAAAGTTCTGTGGTCTAAAGTCTCAATAGTCTTTTGGAATCCACACAAAGCTTCTGTAATAGTTAATTCCATTTGCATGATCAGGTTTCTACCACTCCTTTTAAAAGTTTCATGCTCCTTTTCATCCAACACAATAATGATATCTCCTGGTTCTAAACCTGGCTCTTGATCACCTTCTCCACTGAAAGTGATTTTCTGTCCATCTTCCATACCTAATCAAATATTCACAAATAATTTTACTAGAATATTGCTTTAAACTAGACTAAAATAACTTACTTTTTAACTAATTTAAATCTTTCCATTCTAACAAGTTCATCATGCTTGATTTAGGGTATTACTAGAAATGCATCCTCAAGAGTTGTAATAATATTCATGAAGAATATTTTTCTTAATGAAACAGATACTAATTAATCGTATTACAATAATTTATACATAAAAAACAAAAACAAAAAAACCACAACAACAGGTGAACCACTTTTAATGGTGATAGTTAGAATATTTACCTATAATAGTATGAATGTTTGAATAGTTATGAGCTTTCACACCTACCTGTAAATTTTCTTTCCTTCACTTGGTCAATCATATTACCTTTAAAACTTGTTTTTAAATCACCTATCCTATGTTATGAAATTACCAATTAACCTTTTAACCACGGGTACTCTTTTTAATACTTTTCTGCACAAGTCACTGTGTTACATTCAAAATTTAACCCTTTCACAACGGGCTCGGCATAAAATACAAGAGTTCGTATACATATCTGCACTTGTTAAGTACTTATACTATAACTTTTAATTCTGTATATGTATCTTCACAAAATTCGGTAGACTTTTAGTAATGATTACAAGTCTTTTGTACACAAAAAATCAGGCTTGTTACTGAAGTATTTTTTACTAGATATTTGTTTGTGAAAATAGTTTGTTTCATTACTAGTAAGAGTGCAAAGTGTTTTTCATGTTATGATTAAAAACTATTCTTTGTCCCATAAATCTCATTATTTGTGTAATCTCTAAAAATACATTTCAAACGTTTGTTTTCAGTAAAACTTTATATCTTATCTGTTATTTTCTCTACCCTAACTGTACAGGGCCTCTCAAATTTGACTGAACTCGTAACCACCATAAAAAAAATAAAATATCAATTATGCATTTTTTTTGTACAATAACTAGAAATTATAACACAAGAACAAAAATGTTTAGTCTAAATATCATAACATTATACATTTATATATATTTATTATTTTCATTATATTGACCTTTCAGCCGTGCCTGGCTAACATTATAGAAGTTGCAATGATGCAGCACACATGCTACCGTATCCAAGAATATAAAACTGACCTTTAGTCTTTACATAGTGACCTGTCTTGGCTGTGTTTTAGTGGTCTAGTATTT